AATTTTCTACTTGTGTTTCAGAGAATTCTGTGTTAAAAAACCGGATAGTGGACTACTAGTAGTATTGCCGTAATATGGAAGTGTTACATCTAGATGACAAAAAACTTCTCTTTAAGCACGGTCATTGTCGAGAATGTCGTCCTTCGCAACCGAGCAAGCAGAAATACTTTCTGCAAGTATACATCTTGATCGGGACAGAGAAGTCCAAAAGATTCTGCGGAGGGGTGTGGGGAAGAATGACGTAGCACAATACTCCTTAGTACGGAGGGCGTGTTTGGATGGATAATATACGATAAACGATGATAATATACTAAAGCTCATGCATCAGCATCAGCTTCATGTGCCGGTGCGAAATTCACCCGTTCCAGAATCAGCGTGTTTTTGGTTAGAATTCGACTTGATTCATGAGTATGATTACGACTCCGCATCTGCATCAACATATGATGCAGTGATTTGCATCAGTAGCGTGAGTTGCATCAAGGAAATTACTCAACAATCAGGGTAAGTAATCAAGGATCACCTTGAATACTCAAATCACAAAATCATAGCTCAAGCATATGAGTAATTACTCAGAGTCAGCGACTCAGTATCATTAATCGGAATCAATGGCTGATTTGCATCATGCGTCACCGATCAGCATCAAGAATCAGGATCAACGGGTGAGTCCCGTCAGTAATCAGTACTCCAACTCAATACTCAGAGATCTTGCTCAATACTCAAGAATCATACTCTAGAATCGTGCATTTTACCCTGTAATCATGCATCTTGCTCACTAACTCTGCATCTTAGGATGATTTTACTCAAGGATCTGACTCTTGCATCAGGATCTGCATATGGCCCCAGGTCTTCAGTCTGGCGCTGTATCTGCCGCGCTGCGCGAGAGATAGTCTGGCCTGAGATATCTGGGCAGATATTGTCACATTGAGATTGGCCGACGTAATAGTTGTGGAGGACTATACCCTGCAAGAGTGATAACACAGAATAGAGCTCAACACTTACGCCAGTTTAGATAACGAGGATTATACACGTCGCCATTAACCTGTTGAAAAAGTTAACCTGTTGATTAAGTTCACATGTTTATAAAGTTAATCTGTTTTTAAAGTTCGCCCTTGATTAAAGTTCAGTCGTTGGTTAAGTTGACCCGTTGATAAAGACTTTATCATAAAGTTCACGTGTTGATGAAGTTGACCCGTTGTTAAAAGAGCAACGTTGACAAAACCCGACTGTTGGTATTACACTGGTAACATTCACAATGGACAGTTGATTTTTGCACCGTTACCTGTTGGAAATTGTCACTGTCCGTTGGTTTTGTCCCAACCCAGTCGTTGCAAATGTACCCTGTTGGTTTTGTTACACCCCTGTTTCTTTTATACGCAAAAACATTGGCAAAGTTCACACTTAGTTGGTTATTGCACTACGTTGTGATTTGAGCCTGTTGTTTTTGTTCACTCGTTCGTCACCAATACCGAGGACTTCAAGGAGCTCAGCCAGCGAGTTCTCCACCATGTAAGTCGTAACGTCCGCACTGGTTGACTCAACAACACTTGGGA